GAAAAGACACAGCAAGTTAACATCCTTCTCTATTCGGAAAACAACGGCGGGATCACAGTCACTGGTCAAGATTTCCAAAAGGAGATCGCTGTGAAGAGGAGGAACACGAGGCCGCAACAGCGATGGAAATCCCGACAAATCATCAATAATAGTACCCGAGGGTGGGTGTAGGGGGCGGGAAAGCCTGCGCAATAACCAGACCTAACAGAAATCTAGTGTGGCCAGGAGTGAATGACCATCGTAAGCGCCTTTTCTTCACAGCCATCATTCCCTCATCCTTCTTCTGCCCCCTAATTGAAGCAGTGCAGCAGGAGGGGAGAGGATACCAGAGATAGATGGCATAGCTCTGGGGTGTAAACTTGGGTTTGAGACCTGTTTCCGTCACGAAATAACTGACCCGGGTAAAGCTGCAACACGGTGCCTCAGTTTCCCCATCAGTAAAATGCGGGTAACTACACTCCTGACTACCCAGGGATGTTTTAAGGATTAAATGCGATAAAGAGCGAAACTCTCTGCACAGGACCAGACACAGAGGAACCGCTCCGTGGCGCTAAGGCAAGTCCGCAGGAGGGTCCTAGGGTCTGGGCTCCGGCCCAGAAAGGGTGCTCCCGGGGCCCGCTCCCCGCCAGCCGGGTTCCGAGCCCCTGCCCGGCCCACCTTGTTGTTGTACTCCTCCACGAAGCTGCCCAGCGCCAGGCGAAAGCGCTTGTCGGGCCGCACGCTCCAGTTCATGGCGTAGACGGTCCAGGGCGCTTCATACTTGTAGATCTCCTTCCGTTTGCCGTGCAGTGACATGGTGGAGGCGAAGGGGCCGCAGTGAGGACCGGGACGGGAGCGGGCTGTTGCGAGCCGGGCGCAAATCCGGCAGGGAGCCTGGCCTGGGACCCAGGGGTCCGAAGGGAGGCGGGGCGGGGGCGGGCAGGGACGGCCTAGCCCGGAAGCGGGGCGGTGGCAACAGACAACGACTGCCGGGCCCGACCCCCAGTTTCAAACCAGCTTTGGCTCGGACAACAACCACCTTCCGTTTGAGACACTGCCCCGCCCTCTAGGAACGGAAGCCACGCGACCCCCGCAGCGCCGCTGGCCGTTGGCTGTCTGACACGTCCTTTCGAACGGTTCCTTCCCCTCATTGGCTACTGTGCCCTTAGCTTTTGATACCTCCTTGCTATTGGCCTAAGTGTTTGTCATGTCAGTTACTTGCCCCGCCCAACTCCGGAGGCGGGGCAGGCGCTTACACAATCCCAAAGATCATTGGCTGACAAAGATATCAGTCAGAGAGATAACGGCGCAGTGCGGGTGAATGGGGGCGTGGGTGGCGAAGCGGCTGGCGTGCCAGGCAGCAGGCCTCCAAGTTCTAGGCCAAGTGTCTGAGTGAGACCTTTTGTGTGACCTGCTTTCATTTCCCCACTGCAGCTGCTATTCCCAGCGGCTACTTCACGCTGTCGAGTAAAAATGAAAATTCTCCCTTACCGGAGGACCTGCTGTATTTCAGGGCTCTGAGCTCGGTGGCCTGGCTGACTGGCCTGTGCCGGAACGGGAACCTCTTTAATTGCCCGCTCGTGCCGACGTCCCAGTTAAGCCGTAATGTTGTTCCCCAGCGCCCCAAGGGCAGGCCTCGAACACACCGTTTTCACGTGGACACACCGATGTGTACTCGGGCCCAGGCCCAGCTACAGTCCGGCTTTCGTGCTCTCTCCTTGTCGTAAAAATGCTCGCAGTGCTGGGGTCGGTCCTCAGCAGGCGGTAGCCACACCAGCGTGGCTCTCAGTGTTTATTCCTCCCCATTTCATCCTTCCCTCTAGCGTACCAAAGCAATTGCTAATCCAGCCCTAAATGCTGTTATCTGTGTCTTCAGTTTGAAATGGAGAAAGGTCCGATTCTAGGTAACATCTGTTTACAATTTAAATGGTTTCCAATGGTGTGCTTTCAACACAACTAAAGGAGGATTGTAATGAATTGTTAGGTGATAACATTAAGTATGGGCCTTCCCAAGTGGCGCTAGTGGTACAAAGAACCCGCCTGTTAATGCAGGAGATGCAGGTTCGATCCCTGGGTGGGGAAGATCTCCTAGAGGAGGAAATGGCAACCCAGCCCGGTATTCTTGCTAGAAAACCCCATCGACAGCAGAGCCTAGCGGGCTACAGTCCTTGGGGTTGCAAAGAGTCAGACACGACTGAAGCGACTTGACACATCATTAAGTATAGTTTTTAATGATGTGATTGTTAACACAACTCAGAATTCAGAGAAGTGAGTGCCACTGTTAAATATATAACAACCCCCTTAAAGTCCCATCTGCTTCCTTATGTGAACAGGTTTCTCTGGGCTTATGTTTTACTGTAACAAAAAAATATTTATCCACTCACATGAACTGAGAGAAAAATTCCCTCTTTTAAGAGGTGTATGTCATCCATGTTCAATACCCAATAAAATCCCAGATTAGTCAAATCAGATGTATACCTACAATATTACAAAAATAAGAAGCAGTGAACAGTCCCTCCACCTGTAAGGCTGTTCTGATTACACTGCCTTGGGAGTTAATATCTGTAAAATGAGGGACGAAATTGGTGCCACTGAAGAATATATAGAGATGCACAAATTCTTTGAAATGACAGGAAAAGGAAAAGATCCCCAACTCTCCTGCTGAGGTCATCTAAGGACTTTGAAACATGGAATAAAAGCATATTACAGCAGGGGGTCCCCAGCTTTGGGGATCTAATGCTTAATGATCTGAGGTGGAGTTGATGTTGAATCATCAACTTCAACATCATCCAGAAACCATAAGTGTAAAGTAATGAGCTTGAATCATCCAGAAACCATCCCTTCTCCCCAAGTCTGTGGAAAATCGTCTTTTACGAAACTGGTCTCTGGTGCCAAAAAGATTGGGGACCGCTGTATTGCAGACTTGCCCACAAAACCAACTGCATTTATGCTACCTTCACCATGCTTTATTATTCTAAGCTGGCATCTAACTGGGTTCAGGAACCAGGCAGAAGAGAAGTAAATATTCACAGTATCTCGGTCATCCTTCCTGTGCTTTTCTGACGTGCGGGCTGAGTTAAGTTGCTTTGTTCTGTACCTCACCTTCCTCCCACCACCACCTCCCGAGGTCCACATTAACAACACTAACAGAGCAGGTAAACACACAGCCCTGGGACTTGGGAAGAACCTCCAAGCCCACAGAGGGGGAGCACTGCCAGCCGCATCCAGACGGCACAGACGCCTAACTCTGGGGGTGGGGTGGTCATTAAGGCCGCAGGTAAGAGGGCTGGATCTGTGCTACACTGAAATCCCTCTGTTGTACAGACCTACTTTGAATTTGAGAAAGAACAAGCTCAACTCACCACAATGTGTGCCCAACCACTGCAATCCCCACGTTGCTGTTTTCCGTTGTTCAGTTGCCAAGTTGTGTCTGACTCTTCGTGACCCCATAAGCTGCAGCATGCCAGGCTTCCCTGTCCTTCACTATCTCTTGAAGTAACCATGTAATATGAAATATATCTATTGTATCTTCTTAAAAAAAAAAAAAGAGGTGTATGTCAATAAAATTTTAGTTTCTATAAAAATTTAAATAGAAGTATTTATGTTGTTTTGAAAAACCCAGTACTAATAAGTGTAACCCTTAAAGCCTTAGTAAGGTTAGAAACAATTACTTTTAAAAATTATATGTGTGTGTGTGTCACAAACACATATGATAAGGTTATCAATAATATCCCTTCAAGCATGGTAATAAATTACATGTTGGATAAACTTTGAATGAAATAGAGTGAAATTATGAGCAGAGAAAGGGCTTCCCTGGTGGCTTAGACTGTAAAGAGTCTTCCTGCAATGTGGGAGACCTGGGTTCCATCCCTGGGTTGGGAAGATCTTCTGGAGGAGGGCATGGCAACCCACTCCAGTATTCTTGCCTGGAGAATCCCCACAGACAGAGGAGCCTGGAGGGCTACAATCCATGGGGTCGTAAAGAGCCAGACATGACTAAGTGACAAAGCACGCACACACATGAGCAGAGAAAAAGGAACAGTGTTCAAGAAGAGCTTGTTTTCCTGTTTTTAAAATGAATGACACTGACTTCTTCTGTGGGGGGCAGAGCAGATTCCCCAACCAGGGATTGAACCCTCACCCACTCATTGGAAGTGCAGAGCCTTAACTACTGGACTGCCAGGGAAGTTCCAATATTGGCTTCTGGAATCACTGCTATTTGTATCTAAATGGATCAATATAAATGCAACAGTTTATAAAGTGTCAATATTTACAACACACTGGCAGTTATGTTGTTTGCAACTATTTAAAGTTATCATGGACTACTTCAGATGTCAACTAAAAATGTATAAAGGAGAAATACATTTTCAAAATTCTTTTAGGGAAAAAGGACAGGACCTGTGACTTTTTGAACAACAGCCCATTTCAGTGGAGTAGTTGACTGCACATGTTCTCAAACCAGACCATCTGGGTTGAAATTATGTCCTCCTTTTGATATATTTTTGGGAAATATTCCTTTTCTTAAAATCAAAGTATAATCTACACAAAGAAGTGCACATATTCTTACAACCTGAAACACACTCATACAATCAGCACTTGGATCAGGAAACAGAAGAGTACCAGCACCCCAGAAGTTCCCCTCTTGCTTGGGTAAATTTCTTAGCAATTCTCTACTTCTGATCCTTCTCTCTCAAATGAGGATAATAATACTAACCCCATAGGCTTGTTGCAAAGAGTCGACAATATCTGCAGGGCAGTCAGCATGATATCCCCTAACACAGAAGAGTGCTTTGGAAGTGTTAGCTCTTGTCATGATTCCCTGTGGCCACCATGCCAGTGTCTCTCTGCTTCCCTTCACCCCAGCCTGGCTAAGAGCCCCTTACTCCGGGGGCTCCAAGACCCAGTGGAGTCACCTTCAGGTCCCCAACACACAGCTCCTTGGAAGAAGATCACAACTGTCAGGATTATAGCCCCATCAAGGACCTGATGACCCTCAAATAAGTTACACACCCAGCCCAACGTGAAGTATGCAGACTTTATTAGCTCTGAGACCCTCTACTGCCCACTAGATCCCAAAGGTCATCACAGAACCATCAAGGGCAGGGTGGCTGAGAGCTGGAGTTCTGGGCCCTGATGTGTCCACTGCAGAGGAGACTCCCGTCTCTAGCTGGTTCACAGGCTCTCGGCAGGAGGTCTTGACCAACCCTGGGGGCTTGGCTGCATAGTGGGGGAGGGTTCTGAGGTGGGAGGTGACTGAACTCCGCACAGAGCCAGGCTCTCACACAGAAAAGATCAGAAACGTCTCCTTTCTTTCCTAAGCTCTCTGCCCTGTCCTACCTCCACGCCTGAGGCTCATCCACCCTCCACCAGCCCTGCTGTCTAAAGAGAGCCCTGGAGGAGACTGGGGGAAGTCACGAGCCTCTTCACCTGCACCGTCTGGGGTCACCTGGATTGGCAGTTTGTAGCTACTCTAGGTGAAGGGTTAGTTTAGAGGCTGTCTGCTCCCCCACATCCATAACTATCACCTTACCCACATTCAGTTCCTTCATGGTGCTGTTTTATTTTAATCTTGGGGCACCGTGGCTCTAGCTCCTTGCAAACCCAGGATCTGAGCCATGTCTCTGGAACTCCAACTGCTTGGGCACAGAGCTGAGGTGTTCAGGTAGGGAGGGGAAGCGGGGACCACAGACAAGCCCCTGTACCTCCAAGGGACACAGAGGGGAGGCCAGGGGTGACGGGAGCCCCTCGGGCTGCTTCTGTTCCGAGGACAGTGTCAGAGTTCTGTCCATTTCCATGGCAGAGGGGGGCATCCTAGAGGAAGAGTTCCTGAGCTCCGGCCTCCATTCATCCGTGTCACCATAGCTGGGCATCTGGGGGGTCAAGAAAGAGGGGGGCAAGCAGGGTGGGGAGCCTCCCCAGGCCACCCTGACTTTGGGGTTGGGAACCAGCAGGAGATGTATCCTGCTGCCCCTGCCCCCGATGTGGAGTCTATGTTCACAGTCTGGGCTCTGCTCCCACCTGTCCAGGCTGCCTGTTGTGACTCAGACCATAATAGAGGACAGCAGAAGTCACAGCTGCTCTCAGGCCACAAAGACCCTGGGCCGGATGACCACTGAGACCAAGGTAAGGGTGGGGGAAGACATGCAGCCGCCGCCAGGCAAGCCCCTGGGGGTCCCCTCCACTGCTCACCTGTGCCGGGGGTGGGTCCCCCCGGGGCAGCTGGGTTCCTGGACTCTGAGTCGCTGAGCTTGCAGGGAACAAGGCCAGGTCATTGGAGGTGGAGGCTCCCAAGATGTAGCCAGTGCGGTCCTGGGGAAGGGGCTGCCGAAGGAGCTTCAGGATGCGGCTGAGGTCTGAAGACATGCGGGACTCCAGCCTGCCAGGCAGAACCCCACAGTCAGGGTCAGGGTCAGGGTCGGCAAGACCAGTTTAGGGCCTGAGGGCAGCCGTCAGTTGTGTAGGCTGCAGGCTGTCCCTGCTGGATGAAGCTATTTCCCCGCTACAATCTACATGCGTGAGTGCTAGGTCACTTCAGTCACATCCAACTCTTTTTGACCCCATGGACTGTAGCCCGCCAGGCTCCTCCATCCATGGGATTTCCAGGCAAGAATACTGAAGTGGGTTGCCATTTCCTTCTCCAGGGGAATCTTCCCGACCCAGGGACTGAATCCGGGTCTCCTACATCGAAGGCAGACCAAACTCTTTAATGTCTGAGCCGCCAGAGAATCCCCTACAATCTGCAGCCTCCACCCAAATTCCCTTTAGTACATCCCTGACTCTGATAATCACAGTGATCAGGCAGCTTCGCGCATCATTTAGTCCTCAGAGTGAAGTTTTTTTAGGGGGGAGGGTGGGTACCAAATTATTTAATTTGAAGGAATGGTACTAAGGAAAGAACTTAAGTAGATGTTTCAGTACAACTTATAGAATAGGTGAAGGTAACCCAAACACGCCTGTACTGCTTTGGTAACCAGAGAAGTCACCCCACCCCCACCCCACAGCTACAAAAAAACAGCCTAATGCTTAGCTCTCCTTATCACTGTTTCTCAGAGGGTGCTTGTGAAAGAGACATTTTGCCCTCATCATGAAGCTTCAACACAGGTATTCTGGTTACCCCCACTTCACAAAAGGGTAAACCAAGGCTCAGAGTGGTTGTTACTTATACACAGTATTGCTGCTAAGTTACCAAGCCAGAATTTGAACCCAGGACTGTATTGCCCCTAAGCCCTCACTCTGCCACACAGCCCTGCCATCCACAGGCCACAAGCCCATTCCCAGGGCTCATGGTATTTTTTAAAAAAATATGTAAATATTTATTTATTCGGCTGTGCTGAGTCTCAGTTGTGGCATGCAGAATTTTTAGATGCGGCATGAGAACTCTTAGTTGCAGCATGTGGGATCTAGTTTCCTGACCAGGGATTGAACCCAGGCCCCCCACATTGAGAGCATGGAGTCTTAGTCCCTGGACCACCAAGGAAGTCCTGGGCCCACAGAATTTGTTTCAGCATGAAGTTACACCCCTCTCCCCTCGTGGCATGTTCCAGGTTTGCTGGGACAAGCCATCCAAGGAATTGTCCTCAGTGAGAGGGCTGGGGAGGTCTGCAGCTAAAAGGGGCTGGCCACTCTCAAACCGTTGGGTTTCCCCTGTGGTTCAGCTGGTAAAGAATCCACCTGCAATGCAGGAGACCTGGGTTCAATCCCTGGGTTGGGAAGATCCCCTGGAGAAGGGAACAGCTACTACTCCAGTATTCTTGCCTGGGTCGCAAATAGTCAGACACAACTGAGTGACTTTCACTTTCAGGTTTTCGCTTTCATTCTCAAACCCACGGGTCACCCAGCGATGTCCCCGAGGCACCAGGAGGGGGCGCCCGTACCTAGCCTGCCCCAGGCCTGCCCTCCATGGCTGCCCCATTCCTGCCCACAGGTCACCCACCTGTTCATCTGGGCCTGGAGCTGCTCTAGCCTGGAGCCTAGCTCCCGAGGCCAGCAGTCTGAGTCTCCCTGAGGGTTTGGGGGGCTCTGACTTGGCCTGGGGGGCACTTGCTGCAGCAACTCAGGCCAGAGGCCAGATGCGTCTGAGATGCTCAGGGAAGGGGCTGCACCTGCAGGGGGTGGAGAGGGAAGCTTGAGCCAAGGTCCAGCTGGTTCCACAGGGTGGGCCTTCTCGAGCAGAGCCCCGTTCTACCTGCTATGGGAACACGGGGTGGGAGGAGTGGATCTCCTTCCCTGGGTGTCCTGCCCCCATAGAGGCCTGGCTTCTAGGACCCAAAAGGCTGTAGCCCTGGCAGTAGGGGTGGGGCCCCAACCTGGGGGGGCTGGCCGGGTGGGGATGTCCAGCCCCGGCCTCATTGTCCAGGGAGCTGCCACCCAGCGGGGCCCATAGTACCTTGATGGGCCGGTATCCACCCCGGGGGCAGCCCTCACTCAGGCTCCAAGGACACGGGAGAGGGGCACAGGGGCCTCCGGTGCTGAGCCTGGGGAGGTCTCTCCTAGGAGAGGCAGGATGAGGAGGACCTGCCAAGGGCCAGGAGGCTGGGCAGGGCTTTCGGGCCCAGGAGCGGCAGACTCTGGCAGGAGGCCGATTTTGCTCACCTGACTGGTTGTCACTGAGGAAGAAGCCCTGGTGGTCTTGACTGCCTGGAGCCTGTTGGGGTGATGACTGGAGACCACCGCCTGCCTTGTGGGGAACAAGAGCATCAAGTAATGGGGACCACAGCCGGGACCGGGCCTCTCTCCCTCCCCCACCCCCGTGGCAACTAGGTGAGGGTGGTTGCAGGCAACTGGGCCCCCCCCCAGCGTGCTCCCGGCAGCTCCTCTCCAGCGAGGACTGGCAGGGGATGCCCAGGGGCTTAGGGCCAGGCAGACCCCAAAGAGTCCTTCGAGAGGCTGCCTTGAGCAGCAAGGTGGGGGTGGGGGAGGCAGGGGAGCTGTTCTCCTTCCATTTCCTCAGGACCCTGGAACCCCCCGCCCTCAGCCTGGGCCGACGTGACAATTCCCCCTGAGGGGTGGAAGTCTGGAAGTCCCACTCCTTTCAGGGGTGCCCTCATCCATGCCTTTGGCAGCCTACCCCCTGCTAATAGGACTTGGGGGCACCCGGGGGCTGCAGATGTCCCAGGCCATGGACACCACAGCCCTCTTGCTCAAGTGTCCAGCCACTGTGCACTTGGGCCACCTGATGCCTCCTAGCAGCTGGGCACCCCCTGCCGCCCACCCCCCACCGAGGCAGAGTCCTCACAAGAGGCCTCCTAGACAGGCCAGGCAGGAAGAGGAGAGCCTGGGGAGGGGAGGACAGCATAGGGTAGGGTGGGGAGGGCCGTCTGGAGCAGGTAAACCTGCCTCAGCTCCACCTCCAGACGCTAGGTGCGGAGTTGGGCCAGCAGAACCCTCAGCCTGAGGCCGGGGGCTGGGTGCTCAGAGCCCGGGCCTCGGCCACTGCGGCCCCTGCCAGGCGCGCCTGCCCCCTCCTTCCCAGTAGCTGGTTCCCGACCCTCCCCGGCACACAGACCCTTCTGGGCACTTCCACTCTGTGCTGGCTGTCCCACACCTTGGCCACCCTGAGCTCCACAGATATTTGGTCTCACTGCACACCCTTGAGACTGCCTTGGTTCTTCACTATGGAGCTCTTGGGAGTTCCCTGGTGGCCTAGTGGTTAGGATTCTGGGCCCAGGTTCCATCCCTGATCAGGGAACCGAAATCCCACAAGCTGCTTGCTGAGGCAAAAAAAAACAAAACAACTATTTAGCTCTTTCTTCTCTTTTTTTCCTTCTTCTTTTTGAGTTATTATAATCTCCTCCACTGAGTGATAAATTTGAGAGGAGAGATTGCTCTATCACTGCTTACACCTCTGGGACCTGGACTGTGAGCTCGTGGATGGAAGACACTGCTGCCCGCCCCCACTGCCCCCCTTGCAGCTTGGAAGGATGTGGTGGGAAAAGCCTGGGCTATGGAGATGCACAAACTTGAGTCCCATTTTGGCTGCACCACTGAATATATGATTTACTGTGTGACTGTGTGGCTTTAGACATTTGTCTGCTAGGACCTTCAGTTTCCCCATCTGGAAAATGGGGATAATAACACCACCTGCAGGAAGACTAAATGAGATCATGTAGAAGGAGCCCAGTGCTTACCACATAGTTGGTGCTCCGTAATTGGTAGCTATCTTCATACTTAGCATTATGTTGGCCATGGGAGGCACAGAAGTGATTATGACAAAGGATGAAGGGGGGGTTGAAAAGAAGGGAAGCGGTCAGACGGGTCCTCTCCAGCCAAGCAGGCCAAGCACTCAGCAGGCTGACTGGCCATGGCCCGTTACAGGCTGGCCGAGGGCCACCCCCGACCCGGCCCACCCAGCCCAGACTCACGTCCCGCAGGTTGAAGGTGACTTCCAGCTTACTCCAGAAGCTGTCTGCGAAGGCAGGGTACATGTCCAGCACCTCCAGCAGGTCTGCCCGCTGGATCTTGTGCAGGTCACAGTAGGTCAGGGCCCGTACATCTGCGCTGGACTTGCCCGGCCGGGCATGGAGGCTAACGGGCTCTCCAAAGATGTCATTCTTTCCTGCCAGCCAGAGGGGCAGGGGAATCTCCAGGGCCTGGCTCTCTGCTCTCTTCTGAGGAGCCCCCCTGAGGACCTCTTAACCTTGACCTTGCCCAGCTTCAGGGTCCCTGCCAGGCAGGGGCCTGGAACAAGGCTGGATGTGCTGGCTGAGGGCAGGGAGTGTGCAGAGACCCCTGCCGCCCCAACCTGTGGGTCCCCTTGCTATCTCCAGGATCCTTGAGACCACCTTCTACCAGAATCTCCTTCCTGTTTCCCACTTGCTTGGGAACTGCCCCTACCACTCCTACCCAGGGAACCGCAGACAGAAGAGACACCAAAGGCTCCATGCCCAACCTCTTCCTCTCTGGCTGGCCACAGAGCTGCAGAGTGGCGGGGACCAGGGGTCAGGAGCACCCAGCTCCCTGGGACAGCACCTCAGGCTTCTCTGTCTTCGGTTCCCACTCCCACTGTGGGGCCAAGTGACCGGCATGGCCCTCTCTGCACCCCGGTGTCCCCATCTCTAAAATGGCCATAACCATATCTGCCCTGGCCGTCCCCACCCCGGGTGGTCCAGAGGAGCAAAGGTGATGCTGGAGGAAGTGCCTCAAAGAGCAAGAGGCACCAGACAGATAGATGCAAGGCGTTAGGATGGACAATGTCACAGGGTGGACCTGGGCTGGATATGGGTACAAGTGGTGAGGGTGCTGGGCCGTTCTGGTGCCAGGCACTGTGCTAGCCACAGGATAAAAACATGACTGGGGTTCTGTCCCACCCACAAGGAGCCCCCCCAAATCCCCAACAGACAGAGTACAGAATGATCTCTAGAGCCTCAGAACAAGTAGGAATCAAGAGCAATGGGACTACAGAAGAGGGAGAGGTTCATTCCACCAGGAGTGGCTGGAGGCGGGGAGGGGTCTTACAGAGCTACTGAAGTGGAGGCTGGGCTGTGAGAGTCTAGGAGGACTGGTCTTCCAGGAAAAAGGCAGTCGGGTGGAGGAAGCAGGTTGTGGTCTGTGCAGCACAGTCAGAGTTCGGGGCAGAGAACCCAGGGCCAGAGTGCCAGAGACCATGATTATCATGGCCACTTCCCACAGGAAACTCCAGCCCCCGAGCCTGGCCATTCTGCACAAGGAGTGCTAAGTGTTTGCTCAATGATGGATGGAGGCCAGGACATGGGCCCCCAGGAGAACAGGATAAAAGGTCTTTTACTGAGGAGGGGACTGAGGAGGCTCAGAGAAGGGAGGGACTCTCCAGGGTCACATATGAAACCCAGAAGCTAGAAATCTGGGCAACATTATAAAGTGATGGTTTTCCAGTAGATGAAGGATTATGACCTAATGTCCATTTCTTCTCAGGACAAAATGAGAGTTCATGTCTCTAACTGAAACTTAAATTGGACTGGCTTCTTAATTATTAATAATAATTATATCTCTTCCACCTGGATGGCACTTCTAAACTTGGCTGGGAATGAGGGACGGGCTCATAGCGGAGCTGAGCTTGAGCTCAGCATTGAAGGATGCATGGGGCCTGCCAGGATGGGTGCGAGGCAGGTGCTCTGAATGGAGTGGCAGTATGTGCAGAGGGCATAGGGGTGGGACAGATGGGCAGGTGTAGAGAACTAAGTAGTTTGATGGCTGGAGCTTGAACCACCAGGGCGAGGGTGGCAGAACCTAGGGGTGGCCAGAATGTGGCCAACCCCTGGCCGTGCACAGGGGTTGACATTTTTCCCATGGGTCATGAAGAACCATGAAAGGATTTTGAGCAGAAGACTATGCCCAGATGTTAATTTCAGGTCACTGGCAGGTGGAAGATGGAGTCTGGGATACACCAGATTCAGGCTGCAGGAGAGGAGCTCCTGACACCTGCCCCGGAAGGACATACTAAGGACTGGGCCCAGGCAGGGACAAGAAGACAGGTATGGGACAGAGAGATCTCAATGCAGGGAACAGACAGGGTTCTGTGGCTGCCTGGATGGTGGGGGTGGGCCAGGAAAGGAGGAGGGTACTTTCCTGGCTGACTCCCAGGTCTCTGGCCCGGGTAGCGGGAGGTTCACAGTGACGGGGATGCCCATGGAGCTGCCTTTGAGGGAAGATGATGATTTCAGATTGAGATAAGCTGTTTGGTCTGCCTATGGAATGTAAGGATGGCCATATCTGGAGATAAATGGAATTTTCCTCTCTATGGAGAGACTGGGGCCAGGACAGAGCTCTGGGGGTCCTTGTGGCTGAGATCATGAGAGCAAGGAGCTGGCCCAGGTGAGGGTGTAGTGGAAGAAGAGAGCCAGGGCAGGCCAGAGGGAGAGGACTGGGTGGAGGAGAGCCTGGCCAGGGGAACCAGGGGATGGTGAGGCTGACGGCCTGGTCAGGGACTTGGGGTGGGCTGAAGGCAGGGGGGGAGGCGTGGAAAATGAGAACCACCTCAGACAGGTGAGTGACCTGCCCAAGGTGAGCGGCAGAGGCTGTGTGGGCCCCCAGTCTCTCCCCTGTCCAGAGCTCCTTATCCTTCCTCCAAAGTCCAGCTATCCCTGCAGCTGCAGTGACCACCCCGCCTCCACCCGAGACAAGCCCTTGCCTTACGCCGAGCTTCCTAAGGGCAGGAGAAAGTCGCAGCCTGCCTGGACTTCCCCAGCCCTGGAATCCCTTCTTGTCCACCTACCAGACCTCTCTGAGCCTCAACTTCCCTATCAGGAAAATGGGGCCTGTGGCCGGGGTTGGTGTGAAGGATTCCGTGAGCTGGGCGTCAAGCACCCCCGTGGCACATGCTCAGCACGTGGCAGGTGCCATCAGCGTCCCTGGGAACAGCCTGGTCCAGACAGGACACTTCCCCCACTCTACCCACCCCCAGCCCGGCCCTCCCCTTCCGACCCACCGAGGATGGCCACCACCACATCATCGCGCAGGATCTCGATGGAGCCGCGGGAGATGAAGTAGAGCGTGGAGAGCACGTCGCCGAGGTGCACCAGCGTGTCCCCGGGCGGCGCATGCGTCGTCTTGAACTTGACAGCGAGCGCGCGCAGGCAGCCCTTGCTGGCGCCATGGAAGGCGGGGCAGTGCTGCAGCAGCGCCCGATGCAGGTGCAGGCAGATGTCGGCCTGCAGGCACTCGGGGAAGCCCTTCAGCACCTGCGGGGCGGCGGGGGCGTCCAGCGGGGTGCGGCCAGGGCTGGGGGCTGGGGGAGCGGGAGGTAAGGAGGGTTCTGGGGACGCCCAGTGCCCGCGGGACCTTGGTCTCCCCCCACCGCCCCGCCCCGGGGGCATTCGCCAGAGCTGGGACTTGAGCGAGGTGGGCCGCGCCACCCGGGCCCGAGCGGCAGGGGCTCACCGCGTTCATGTCGATGCCATTGGTGTAGGACCAGGCGTGTTGGAAGTACTCCTCGAGGCGCTGCCGCAGCGGGTTGGGAATCTGGTGGAAGCGGATGAACTCCTTGACCCGCAGCATCTGCGTGTGGTAGCGCGCCGTGCCCGAGTACAGGCGCTGGATGATGGCAGACACGTTGCCGAAGATGCTGGCGTACATGAGGGCTGGGGCAGGGTGGCGGGATGCGGGGCTGAGCTCCGGAGCATCTCCGCCAGGTCACAACACCACCCCAAGGCCTGCTCCAGCCTCCCCCACCCTGGGATCCCCCTGCCAGGGACCCTTCTGTCTAGGGCAAAGTCAGAAGTGTCCAGGACGGTGCCAGGGTGTCTGAGGGGGACAAAGACCCCTGGGTTTTCTGCCCTCCTCCTTCCACCCTGTGCCTCTTGGCAGCTTCTGGGGCCCCATAGGCCAGACTCCTGAGAAGAAAGAACTAGGGCAATGGTTTTTTTAGTTCAGATTTGTTTTCTCTTTCAAGTTGTAAAAATATTATAAAGGGAAAACTCTTGGTCTCTTGTTTTCACCCTTTTTTCACCCCTTGTTTTTGTCTTTCTGGGCTTTCACATCTCTAAATACTCTGAACATGACAACTTAATCTACGTGTAACATTCCACACTGCCTTTCCTGTTCCTAGGCCACGTGTCTTGAAAGGCAGGAAGCACAATGTGAGGCCTGACAGTACACAGCCCTGGGAGCTTGTTCTCTGGGAGTCTGTCCCCTGGGCTGGAATTGGGTCTCTCTGTAACCCCTGGCAAGTTAGGACATTCAGTTTCTTGGTCTATAAACAGCTCATACTATGGCTGTCATGGAGTAGTGATGGGAACAAAACAGGGACCTCTGATAAGGACTTAGAAAAGTGCCTGGCAGGGACTTCCCTGGTGGTTCAGGGGCTAAGACTCCATGCTCCTAAAGCAGGGGTCCCCGGTTCGATTCCTGGTCAGGGAACTAGATCCCACATACTGCAACTAAGAGTTCACATGCGTCAACTAAAGACCCTGCATCCTGCAACTAAGACCCGGCACAGCCAAATAAACATAGATGGAAAAGAAAAGTGCCTGGCAAGCACTTCATAGATGTGGACCTGTGTTGAGAAGGGCCCTGGGTTTTGGTTTAGTGCTCTCTCTCACTGTCTTGAAATACTTAATAATATTTTAAACAAAGGGCTCCACACTTTCATTTTGCACGAGGCCCTGAAAATGAGGCAGTTGGCCCTGATCCCTGGTATATATTGAGGGCTATAGATTCTGTATATAGTTAGTGTGAAAGTGTTAGTCACTCAGTCGTATCTGATTCTCTGTGACCCCATAGACTGTAGCTCGCCAGGCTCCTCTGTCCATAGGATTCTCCAGGCAAGAATACTGGAGTGGGTTGCCATTTCCTTCTCCATTTCCTTCTGCCCAACCCAGGGATCGAACCTGGGTCTCCTGCATTGCGGGCAGATTCCGTCTGAGCCACCACGGAAGCCCACAGTTAGTGTACACACATGCAAAAATTCATTGTGCTGCAAACTTAGGACCTGCCAATCACAGAAATTGTTACTGTGTTATATCTCATTACAAAACTCAACCTGGAATTGGTGGGTAAGGCCCCGGACACTCACAGCCAATGAGCATGACGCAGATGGAGAAGACCTTTTCGGAGTTGGTGTTGGGGGAGACGTTGCCAAAGCCCACGCTGGTGAGGCTGCTGAAGGTGAAGTACAGGGCGGTGACGTACTTGTCCTGCACCGAGGGGCCCGAGGCTGGGTCGCTGCCGTTGTAGCGCTTGCCAAGCTGCGCGCCCAGGCTGTCCAGCCAGCCGATCTTAGGCTCCAGGTAGGGCCGCTCCACGTTGCCGATAGCATACCAGATGCAGGCCAGCCAGTGCGCGATGAGCGCAAAGGTGCACATGAGCAGGAAGAGCACGGCCGCCCCGTACTCAGAGTAGCGGTCCAGCTTCCGAGCCACACGCACCAGCCGTAGCAGCCGCGCTGTCTTCAGCAGTCCGATCAAGGTTGTGGTCTGGAGAGGCAGGGAGGGGGCCCCGGGGCTGGGGTCAGCCCTTGAGAGATTGCACATAGGACCACATTTATTCCCTTGCGGGTGTGGTCACATAGTCATTCTTTTTTTTTTTTCTCACATAGTCATTCAACGAACACTTATGGAAAGCCTGCTTTGGGCCAGGCTCTCAGCAGTGGGACCCCATGCAGGACCTTAAGGAGCTCTCAGCCTAAAGCTCAAAATGGCTTTATGGTTTGCCAGGACAGAAGTCCTGGCACAGAGGAAGGGGAGGAAAGTCTGCAGCGATAGGGCAGGGAAGGCTTCCTAGAGGAGGTGACACAGGAGCTGAGTCTTGAAAGATGAAGCTGGGTCTCCAGACAGGAGGGAGAGGGAAAGGGCATTCCAGGAACAGGGAGCAATATGAGCAAAGGCATGGCCGTGAAATGGCACAGTCCACCTGGGGAACCAAAGGTGGTGCTGCAGGTGGCAGCACAGAGCAGAAGGCGGTGCAATGGTGAGCAAGGAGCCTGGAAGGTGGGCAGGGGCTGCTGCTGCGGCCTCAAAGAGCTTGGCTTTTATCCCAAGCTACTGGGGAGAACTGAAAGCTCTGAAGACTGGATTGAATGAGGGTCAGGGTCAGATAAGTGATCTGAAACTTGCTCTGGCTCCTGTGTGCAGGGGCTGAGGCTGGCAGGTGGGCTGGGGCAGAGGTGGTAAGAAGGCCACTCCGTGTCCAGGCAGGGCCAGTGCAGGTGGAAAGGGTGGGGAGAGGACTTGGGGATAGATTTGATGGAAGTGGGTGGGTGGGCATGGGAGCACGCAGTCACGATGGACAGTCCGTGCTGGACAGGCTAGATGACTGGTGTGTGAATGACTGGAACACAGGAGGCAAGCTATTCGAGTGGAAAGCTGATTCCAAGGGACTCCCCTGATGGCCCTGTGATTAAGAATCTACAGTGTAATTCAGGGGGCACGGGTTCCATCCTGGTCAGAGAACTAAGGTCCCACATGTTGTGGAGAAACTAAGCCTTCAAGCCACAACTCCTATGCCCAAGAGCCCCAACAAGACAGTCGGTGAAAGTCTGCGCTCCACAGCGAAAGATCTCGCATGATGCAATGACAGTCCCGCAGGTGGCAATTAAGACGCGACAGCCAAATAAATAAATGAATGAGTGAATGAATAAATAAATAAATATTAAAACAACAGCAACAAAAAAGCTGATCCCAAGGAGATGGGGCAAAAGGACAGAGTGGGACTAGAAGCTATGAGAACAGCATGAAAATGCCCTCCCATCAGCTGTGAGAGGCGGAGTAGGCGGAGTGGTGGGGCTGAGGCTGAGGAGGCAGTCAGGCTGCCCTGAGAGGCAGCCTGTGGATTTCCAGGGTAACTGTGGACAGGCATGGGCATGCCCGTCCCAGAAGGGGCAGGGTTCGGGAACAGAGAGAGGGCATCCAGACCTACGGGAAGCCCCAGCTACTCCTACAGGGCTGGGAGATGACAGATGTCTGAGGTCCCTCCTTTGCACCACCACCTGCTTCAGCAAAGGTGCCCCATGCCAAGTACTCCCCATACCCAGGGCCGGGGCACAGGGGACCATGGCAGGGGCCAGCCTGGATGGGGCTTGCTCACCTCGTCAGAGCCAGTGCGAAAGATGAGCAGGTCAAAGGGGATGGCGGCTACCATGTCGATGAGGAACCAGCCCTTGAAGTAGTGGACGGCGATGCGGCGGGGGTGGCTGACCACCTCGTCATTGGTGTTGACGTAGGTGGTGCGGAAGTTGATGACGATGTCCACCACAAACATGATGTCCACGATGAGGTCCACCACGGTGAGCGGGCTGCAGGTGTAGCCGCAGTCCCCACGCTGAGACTCGTCCTGGTCGCTGAGCAGGAAGGCGGCCGAGTAGGGCGTGAAGACGGCCGTGTAGATGACCAGCAGCAGGATGAGCCAGTCCCACACGGCCTTGAAAGGGCTGTAGTGCAGGAGGGTGCCCCGGTGGATGCGAGGGGCCTGCAGCTTGTACTCCGGCAGCACGTCCGCTCCCAGGGACAGGACCTGGGGGTGGGGACCAGGCGGAGGTCAGCCGGGTGGCCCCTGCCAGGGAGATGGCTCTGGGAGGGATGGAGATGCAGGGGTGAGGCCGAGGAAGGGAGATGTGGGAGAGGGTGGGTGGCAGGGCGGTGCAGGGAAGAGGGGATGAGGTAAAGATGGGGGTGTGGTCCGTAGGACACGGACACGTAGTTCATAAGAGGACAGGAGTGCTGGGAGGATGTGACGAGAGGAAGTGGGGTCCAGAGGAGGGGGGCAGCTCTGTCTCATAGTGACCCCATGTTTGAACTCCCCCATAAACAGGCCAGCCTGGAGTAGGTGAAGACAGGATTGGGGGAGGGGAAAGGGGAGGGCCAGGTTCAGGCCAATTGAGGGGGTGATGGGGGGTGACTGTCTGGTGGGTTTGGGAAGTTTCCAGTGGTCAGGTTTCCCATGGGAACAAGTCACTCCCAAAGTAGCTTCTTAATTCCTGAGAGCCCTCTGGAGCCTGGACCAGTGAGGGCCCACCCTGGGGCCAACTCTGAGCCTTCCACGGAAGGAATCAAATTTTGGGGGTGTATAGTTAATCTGGACCCTTGATGGGTCTGGGTACTGGTGGCCTTGACTACTTTGCACGTGTCCAAGGAGGAGTTGATCATTGCATTCTGAACCCCCTCTGCTCTGCCCCTCCGACCCCCACCTCTGAGACTTCGGCCAACATTCAATCACCAGGGCCCAGCCTAACATGCCCAGGTTCTGCCCAGCTGCCCAACACAAGAGACAGCTGGGAGCAGAAGGCTTGCCTTTTGTAGCCAGAGCTCCCAGGATGATCTTGGGTCTGACACTGCTGTCTGTTTGTCTTGGGGCAGGTTTTGTAACTTCTATGAGTCTCAATTCCCTCACTGGCAGAAGGGGACAGCAAAGGACCACAAACTCCACGGGGCTGTTGGCTGTACTAAGTAAATGAGCTGGTGCATCTTTTTTTTTTTTTTTTTTGGTAGTGCCACACGACATGTGGGATCTTAGTTCCCTGACCAGGGATGGAACCTGTGTCCCCTGCCTTGGAAGCTTGGAGTCTTAACCACTGGACTGTCAAGGAAGTCCCAAGCTAGTGCATCTTGATGGCACATGGCATTACACTTGATAATCACTCCTCTCTGCTCATCCAGTGTCAGACACTGCCCTGACAAGGATGAGGCCTGAGAGGTGTCCCATGGATCATCACCCCCGCCCCTCCCTGACAAGATAGGGCCCTGCAGATGGTTCTGGTTTAAGAAAATCTGCAACATAAGGTTCTGGCCCTGCAAGCCAGATCCATTAGCAGATGGGATCACAGTAAGGAAGATCCACCCAAAGGCTGATTTCAACCACACGGTCCCCCATCTGCTGTCCAGACCCCTGGGAGGGGCCACAGTGTCCTCACCCTGCAGGGACCTCCTGCTCAGCCTTGGCCTCAGCTCTTGTTTGGCCTCCCTGGAAGGTTTCCTCTGACCCTACACAGACCTGACCCAGGTTTTTTTTATTTTCTCCCACCTCCTTGTAAACGCTCTGACAGCACAGTTATCTCCACTGACTCACAGTGGCAGCTCCCTCGTCCCGCATGCCCCTCTCTGAGTCCACGTGGGGGCTCAACTGAGGGGGGCTGAGTGAGCACTGAGAGCTTGTGTTGTCATGACCACGTCCACCCCCAGCTGCTCGAGACCAACCAGGCGGAAACAGCAGAACACACGGAGAGGGAGGGAGGCGGTCAGAACTCGGAGGGCAGGGTCCGAAAAGTGTCCCCGTCCTAGGGCTTCTAGTCGGGGTGCCACCTCCTCCACCGCAGATCTCTGGAGTCTCCCACTGCCTCCGGGGCCAGCACCCGGGGCCTCCCCAGTGACTCCAGAGCTATCAGGACGTGGGAGCCCAGGTATGGGCTCACGGCCCTCTAGGCCCTTTGAGTTCTGGTTGAGGCTTGTGTGACTTCCCTTCTCTGGGCCATGTCAGCCCCTCCCTTGAGCTCTGGCAGGCTCCTCCCCTCTTAGGGGCAACATGGGGTGGGTTAGTAAAGCCAAGAGGGGCTGGGGTAGGGGGCAGGACAAGTTGGGTGGGGGCAGGGACCACGCACAACTTTCCAGCCTGACAGCCCCCATCACCCCGTCACCAACCTGAGGGTCCCAGGCTCACAGCTAGGTGGGCTTCCCTAGGTCACTGGCCCCCCGCGCCCCGCCTGATGTCCAAGGGCCCAGCCCTACAGCCTAGGGTCTTCTCTGCCCCAGAGCTCTTGCACTTGGTGAGTGGCTGGGTCACAAGGAGTTTCCAGCCCACCTGCTCCAGCACAGAGGGTGCTTCAGGTGAAAGGGGGCGGGAGGCAAAGAGCTGCTCCATCCCCTCAGGGAACGAAGTCCCAGGGGAGCTGGAGGAGGCCCCTGATCTTGCTCTGCACCCCCTTGCTCAGCCCTGGCCTAGGCACCTCTCATCATCTCCTAGGGCCAGCACCCTCAATGTCAAATGAGTCCTCAGAGACCATGTGGTCCAAGTCATTCCTCCAGATGGGACCCTGGGGCCCAGACAAGGCACAGGTCTCTTGCCCAAGGTCACATAGCAGGCAATGGCAGGGCCCCTGAACCTTGGGCAGTGTTCTCTGCGCTTCCCTCTGGAGAGGTCAGCTGGTGACTGGGGCATCAGGCCCCAGGAGGAGGGACAGTATGGTCAGCTGGAACAGAGGACCCAGAGCAGTTTGCCCTGGGCTGGCCAAGGAGGGGCTGAGGGCTTCCTGGATGTTCCCCAGGAACCCACGCCAAGGGAGCTGAAGATGCCAGGCTGCCCACCCCCCACCCTGCTGCCTGGACTGCGGAAGCATCCCGTCCTAGGGGCTGGCTGCCACCTCAAAAGCCAGGGGCGGGAGCAGGGCTGGGCTCCCCACCCTCTTCCCAGGATGGCCCTGACACCTCCTCTCTCTGCTTCTCCGTCTCTGGGACTGGCAGAGCCTTGGGCAGGCCCCAAGGTGTCCTGCGGGTTCCCCCTCCCGGCTCCTCCAGGCCTAGGATATGGCATTGCTGACTCACCCTCCCCTGGCTCCAGGAGCTGGGAGTCAGGGTGGGAGTCTCAGGGTGGGCCTTTAGGTCTAAAGAATCAGACTCTAGCAGGACAAGAGGCCTGGAGCTCAGACCGGACACCAGGGCTGGGCAGGGCGGCTCCCTCTGCTCCCCCAGCCCCGGAGGAGTCCAGAGCCCTGGCCTGAGAATGGACTGTGGGGCCCAGCACGGCCCGCCCACCCTGGCCTGCAGGCCGCACCTGGGTGACTTTCTCGGTGACGTTCTGGGTCCGCTCCACCACTTTGTGGGGCGCGATGATCTCAATCTCCGTAGTGGAGCCCGAGCGGTGCTTCTCCAGGTTGAACTCCACAAAGTTGAGTGTGAACTGCGGGATCTGGCTGATGGTCCTGTACTTGACCCTGCCCGCCCCAGGTCCCTGCGACTGTCGCAGCAGGCGCTGGGACAGGCTGCGGCTTCCCCGCTTGGCCAGGAGCTGCGCCAGGTCCTCGAAGTTGAGGATGAACATGATGACCGCCCCGTCCTCGTTCTTCACGGGCACCACATCCACCAGGCAGCGGAAGCAGGAGGCTGCAAACACCGTGGGAAAGGAGGGTGGGATGTCACCGGAGGGGTCCTCTCCTGCAGGAACCTGGCCTGGGGAAGCTAGGCAGGGGGTTGCGTTAAGGTCAAGTTGAGAGCAGCCGTGGGTGGGGGAGGAGGCCCACAGAGTGACCAGAGCTGTTGGTGACACTGCCCAGCAGCGCCCCACCCACAGAGCCGAGGTGGAGAAAGCCGCTAAGCTCCTCATTAGGAGATAATGCAGCCTCGGGCCCAAGTCCACACTCGGCCCTCAGCTCGGGGCTTAACCTTGAGGTCTGCTTCTGCTGTAATTAAAGCTGAGCAGATGGGGGTGGATTAAGTGGGGAGGGGAGGTCGGGTCTCCTACCCCCATGTAGCTCTGGCTGGCCCTGGGTTCAGCTCCTGTACTCCTGTTCCCCAAAGATGTCCTGCTCCCCTGATGCTGGAGGGAACTCACTGAGAGCGCACCCAGAGCTGGGCACCGAGCCTGCTGGCACTTTAGGCACTTTAGCTCCATGGTGGTGCACGGCGGAGCCCTGGAGGGTTCTGCAGCCTGGGCTTCTGAGAAACTGACCTGCCGCGGCTGGCTGGGCCATGCATCAGGGAGGGCTGGGGCCATGGAGCGGGGAGCCCTGCGCTCTCATACACAACGGAGGGATGGGGACTTGTCTGGGCCAAGGACACTGGAGTGAGGGCCAGGCTGCGGCTCCAGACCAGGAAGGGGCCTGTGGTCTCAAGGCAGAGGTGCTGGAACTAGGGGTGAGGCAGGTGGGGCACTGGCCTGGGGGCTGCAGAGGGAGAGGGAGATAGATGGCAGGGTGGGGGCAGGACAGGCTCTCCTGCCACTCGCCCAGGCATCGCAGGCTGCCCAGACCCAGCCATTGGCCCTTTTGTTCCTCTTTCTCTGCTCCAGGGTCTTGCTCCCTCTCCCATAGGTGAGTGGAACAAAACAAGCTGAAACTGCCATGTTCCCTAGAGCCCAGGCAGCAGGCTGGGTGGATGCCTGTGAGCCCCGCTCCACTGTACCCAGACATCCCATGTCTCTCAGTTCAGTGTTGATGGGTGTCAGGTCCAAGGATGCTAAGGGCAGAGGACTTGGGTAAACATGACTAGCAGAAGGCAGATTTGTCTATCTTGTTTGCTGGAGGCCAGGACCTGTCCGAGGTATTGTTTGTTACTGGGTGAATGAAAGAATGAGTGTAAATGTGAGTGGGTGGGAGGCTATTACTACTTTGGGGTCCATTAGAATCCCTCTTCCCCCAGATCACCCCCTGGTGCTCCCTTCCCTGGGCGCCTTCTCACCCCCTCAGTGCTGGGGTGCAGCCGAGCTGTCCACATCCTCCCTCCCACCTTCCTCCCTGGAGCAAGAATCTCCCGGATCAGATTCCCGGACTCCCAAGCACCAGGCAGCCATCTGCCAGCTGCCGTGCTGGCCCCGGGGGAGACATCCACACCGAGGAGGGGCCACCCGCTCGCCTCTGAGACCCACTCCTGGGCTCGCAGGGCTGTAGGCCTGCTTCCCAGACCAGAACCTGGCACTCTCATCAGCCCAGGGCATGGCAAGGCCTGGGTGCTGGGACCCACCCAGGAAGCCTCCTTGGCCAGTGGCCTGAAACACCACCCGCAAGGCCATTCTCTCTTCTCACTCTCTCTGGCACTGCGGAAATCTGGCCTGGTGGGGAGCTGGCAGAGCTGGGCAGGGCTTCCAGGCTCTATGCTTCTGGGGGCTGCCAAGGCCCAGCCTGTACCTACTGATGCTATCTTTGGAAAACTGAGGCTGAGAGTGAACCAAAGACTAGCCCATCAGAGCAGTGAGGGCTGGAGGGCGGCTTCATGTAACACCCCCTGCCCGACCTTCACACTCGCCGCCTGGGGATGATGGAGACAGGAGGATTTGGATGAGATCAGAGCATTCTTTTCCTGATCCCTAAGCTGTCTTGGGCTTTCCTGGTGGCTCAGACAGTAAAGAATCTGCCTGCGATGCGGGAGACCTAGGTTGGATGCCTGGGCTGGGAAGATCCCCTGGAGGAGGGCATGGCAACCTATTCCAGTATTCTTGCCTGGAGAATCCCAATGGACAGAAGAACCTGGCGGGCTACAGTCCACGGGGTCGCAAAGAGTCGGACATGACTGAGCGACTAAGCACAGCACTCGTGTCCTTGCTCACGAGTGAGTGGGTGTGGGTGACCAGAAGTGGGTGAGTGTGTCACCCTAGGGGGTGCCCTCCCCCTGTTCCTGGAGGGTGGTCTGCTCGCCCTCTCTTGCAGGGCTTCCTCTCCGGGCCACCTCTCTGACCCTGGACAGTGGGCTCATCTCTCCCCTCGGACAGCGCACTGCTCTCGGCTCTCCTCTGCCTCTTAGATGCGCCCCTTCCTTCAGTTCCTCATAGTCCCCGCCCCTCCCCTTGGAGGCTCTCCTCTTGTCTATCGCCCCCATCTCTTTACACCCGCATCCGGCCTGTGGTGAGCCCTCAGGAAAGAGCTGGTGCCACAAAGGCCGCCACTAGGAGCGCGGCTGCTCCACCCTGCCTCCCTGCTGGGTGTCTCTGGCATTCATGGCTGAGTGTACATAAGACACCGGGACCTCAGATCTCCGCCCATGTCCTTCCTCCTGAACTGGAGCTGAGGACTGGAGGAGCCCCAGGCTCCCTCGAGTCTGGCTTGGAGATTAAGGAACTCTCTGGTTTGGGGTCATCAGGGAAGACGATCCAGCCAAGGCACGCAGGCGGCACGCAGGCGGGGCTGGGCCCCTCTGGCAGGTCCCCAGTGAGGGCAGTGGTAGGACTGTTCTCCAGGCCTCCCTCCAGACTCTCATTAGCTCAAGTCTTGTGGCCATCCCCAGGCTTCCTAGCTGTTAGGTTCTTAACTTTTCCTAGTGAAGGTAGAGGGCAGCAGAGCCAGTTTCTCAGGGGTCTCTGAGCCCTGTCTCATGGGGTAATTTTTGTCAAATGCCGGCCTCTTTGAGCCCAGCTTTACACAGATGCACAATGTGGAGGTGTATGGCCACAGACTCTCTACTTGAACTTGGAGAACTGTCAGTGGTTTACCCCTTTAGAGGAAAAGAGATTATAAATCAGCTAGAATTCTGTAGGGGGTGAGGGAGTGACTCCTAATCAATGGAAGATGGGGGAGAGGAGGTATTGACCTGAGGAAGGAAAAAAATCACCATTAGGATGCCTTTCAGCAGGACAATAAGAGCCATGTGAATATGATAAAAACAAAACAAAAAAACAATCACGTGGTTAGAGTGGACTAGAAGGTGTACATAAGTTATCTGAGCATCGCATCCTTCTCTTAGGGGAATGCTGGCCAGAAGGTTCCCCTTTCTAGGTTTCACACCAATTTCAGGCAGGTCCAAGGTGCTCAAGGTCTTGGACTATTATAGGTCAAGGTGGGCTTCCCTGGTGGCTCAGATGGTAAAGAATCTGCCTGCAGTGTGGGAGACAGAAGCGCCTGGCAGGCTACAGTCCATGGGGTTGCAGAGAGTCATACACGACTGCGTGACTAAGCACAACGCACAGGTGTGTGGCTAGCTTTTCATTTTCTCCCACAGAAAACCTCTAAGACTAGGTCTCTAGGGCTCCCTCTGACTGCTAGAAGACGCCAACAGAGTTCGGAAGATCTGATGATCTCAGAGGGTCAAGGCTTGACCTTGACCTCGGCCCCCAGCCCAGACACAGTTAGGGTGTTGAGGAGACCCTAAGAGCCCTGAGCTGACATCACTAGGAATCTATGATCAGTTCTTACCCCTCTCAGGCCCAGGTAGGGCTCTGAGGTCAAGGAGAGGGACAGAGGGACCTGTTGTCCTCCATCATTTCCTCCCGTCCCATCCTGTTCCCCTGGGACCCTTCTCACTCCTTTGACTGTCACCTCCTCTCTGCAATGATGTGAGGAGGTGAGGTCACAGCTTTTAAAAATATTCTGACTTCATTAACCCTGTGAGTGCTCCCAAACTAAGCCAGGTTCTTCCTAGTCCCCTAATCACTACCCTTGCATTCATGTGGGTGGAGGCAGCAGGGGACAGCCAGAGGGACAGCCAGGACCTGCCCAAGAAGCACTTTAAACACCTTAAACACACACATACACACACGCTCAGGTTTACACGTACATTCATTGCCCACACACACACCAGGCCCCTGCAACCAGGACCGTCAGCACCTTTCAGCCCCAGTCCAAAGGTGCCTGCCCTTTACCTGCACTCCAGGGGCCCTCATGCTTTCTTCCCCAGGGAGGGCCCTCTTCTCGGGCTTCCTTCCCCAAAAGTTCCGCCTCGGAACACAGAGGTTGTTGGGTTCCTTTCACCCCTCTTGGGATTATTCAGACCAGATATATCTGAGGGAAGAATCCAGAGACTCGGGGTCCAGTCCCAGCTAGGACCCACACAGTAGAATCCTGGCCAAGTTCTTTCTTTTTCTTTGGGCTCAGTTTCTTCATCCATGAAATGAGGGATTAATCTAAGCCAGTGGTTCCTAAACCTGACAGAACAGCTAAACTGCTAGGGAGATTTTTCCAAATACACCTGTTTGGGCCTCACTTCACACACATTTCTGAGTCAGCCCCTCTCTAGGGAAGGTGCGTTTTGGAAAACAAGTTCCAGGTAATTCTGATGCAGAAGCAGGCTGAGGGGGCCACTGATCCAGGTGATTTCAAAGGGATTTTGGGGACCCTAGTTCCCACCCATCTCTTTCCTCCCCCCACAGACCCAGTGGAGACACTGAAGTACTGAGGGGAGGGGCTTGAAGGGCTCCAGAATTTCTTATCCTCGGCCCCTGCCCTATGCTTCTGTTCTGTCTGCAGTAGCTTGGGCTGGCAGTAATATCCCAAACTGGACAAGCCTCCAGGGCCAGCACGAACTCCGGGTCCTGTCTCCCCAAGGAGCTGGGGTCCCTGAGACAGACCCAGCCCTCTTTTCAAGGCAGCCGCCCCCACGCCTTGCCTGGCCCCAGAGGCCTTGAGGGGGTGACTCCTCCCCTAATCCCCAGAGCAGACGGAGATGAGGAAAGGTTAATTTCCGTCCCAGCTGCCTGACAGCTGGGGCTGACAGTGACAGAGTGGACAGCCAGGAGACTGGGGACACGGGGGAGGGACGATGGTGTGGGAGGCCCTGCATGGGGCCAGGACCAGTTGGTGGCTCAGCCTCGTCCCTGGCCCCTGAAAAGGACCTCGGAAGGCATTGCACCCAGGGTTCAGCACTTTCTCCATACAGCTGAGGAAACAGAGGCCCAGAGAGGAGACAAGATTCATCCAGGCCCTTTGGTCCCCGGGGTCGGTGCCCTTCCCATGACCACTCTGCCTGGACAAGAGAGGCGCCAAGCCTGCCTCACAGAATCTGTGGCCTGAGGGTGCCTCACCATCCTTGCGGTAGTAGAGGATGTCCACCTTGCACTCCTCGGCCCCCAGCAGGGCCTGCGCCAGGCGGGACATGGCACTGCGCGGGGTGTTGGGGCCTGTGAGGAAGTCGCAGGTGCACGGTCTCTGCATCACTTCCACTCGGGAGTAGCCGAAGAGTTCGCAGAAGCCGTCGTTGCAGTAAATGATGGCGCAGTTCTCCATCTGAGCGTTGGCGATCAGGAACTTACGACCTGGGGCGGGAGGTGGGAGCCCATGGCAACCAGGACCAGGCAGTAGGGAGGGAAAGATCATAGGGACTTGTGGGAGCGGTTGGTGTGTGTGTGCGTGGGGGGGATTGGATCTGGATGCACGGCAGAGCCGTGATCAAAATGAAGGAAGGGGGAGGTCAGGTCTGGGGAGGGTGGGAAGATCAAGAAGGCCAGAGTCATGGGGGAAGGCCATGGGGCTCCTGGGAGTAATGAGGGGATGGTCAGGAGGGGGAAGCAGGACGGTGACCAAAGAAGTGGGGGAAGGGGAGTCAGGCCTGGGAATTGTGGGAAAACCAGCGCAGTAATGGGGTCAGTGAAGTGGGAGGGAGACCCAAGGCTTCCTGGAGCTGGGAAAGGGATCTGCAAGAGGGAGCAGGGGTGTGACCAGATGCGGCCCGGCCTGGGTGAGCTTCTGGAAAGACCAGAGTGGCTTGGTCAGGAGGTGAAAAGGAGGGCGAAAAGGAAACCTCTGGAGGAAGTTGGGGGCGGGGTGGGGGAGTCAGGAGGGAAGCCTGGCAGGGATACAAGGGGAGGAGGGGGCTTAGGACCGGCAAGAAAACAACTCAGGGGTGAAGCCGGGAGCTGCACTTTGCCCACCGTGCAGCGGAAAGGAGGGTAGCGTTGGAGCTAAAAGTAGGGGCTCGCTGGAGGAGAAAGTGTTTCCCGGACTTTGAAGGGAAGGATATGCGTTCGGCATCAGACACCCCCCACCCTGCTCCACTCGAAGTTAGTAAAGGGTCCGGCCACTCCTGCCACCGAACCAGATCATGCCCCAGCCCACCGCACACACTCACTCTGGCCCTCGAACTTCCGGATGATGGTGTCCAGGTAAGTGTTTTGGGGCGCGACGTGGCCCCTGCGGACCGGCATCTTTTCGGCCGCAGCCTCTGCCCGGAGCCAGCAGCGCCCCGGCTCCCTGCCTCTCCGCCTGTCCTCTGGCTCAGCGGCGTCCGGCTCCGGTGGGCGCCGCCCCCGGGGAGGGCCGCAGGGCTTCGTGCCCCGCCCGCCCGCCTGCGTCTACCCCTCTGCTGCGCTCCCCGGCCCGCCGCTCGCCGCGCGTCCTTCCCTCTGCGGCCGCCCGGGAGCTGTCCGCGGCGCGGTGCTGAAAGGAGCCGCGCGGCAGCGGCGGCGGGGCGGGGTCCGCGGGGCGGGGGCAACTTTTCCGGGACTCAACGGGGCAGGGGCGGGGCCCTGACTCTTCGGGGGCGGAGCTGGGCGGGAGTCCGGCGCCAGGAATCAATCCGGTAGGGCCTCTTTGAGGAGCTTCTGCTCTGTCCCAATGGACTCTGCCCTCGGCCCTCTCAGACCCGCTTCAGGTACCAGGTGGCCAGTCTGGACATTGCCAGGCCGTCTCTCTCAAGCAGGGGAGGAGAGGAGGAGCCGAAGGGGTTTTAGAGGCCTCAAATGGGTCTTCTGCTGAAGGTTTCTTTCCCAATCTGACCACTGGACTGGACTCGGGCAATGGTATGGGTAGACCTTTTGCCCATCCTTACCAAGTGCCCTCCAGCTGAATCCCAGTGTCCATGCAGAACTCCTAGTGGCAAGCCCATCCAGGACCGGGTAGTGGCATTGTAATGCACAAAGAATATGCAATGAGGTGTTTTCTTTAGAGGCCTGAGAGCTCTTAGCATACAGATACTGCTTGGGAGAAGAACAGATTTAAAACCACATATTAGCAAGTGACCACTGATAAAAGTGTCTGAGTACTGGCTGAAAATGAATACAATAGAATAAGCAGATGGGGATGGGGTGAGGTTTACTGAAAGAGCCTTCTTGGAGAGGAGTGGGAGAAGTAGACCACTGTTCACTGAGCATCTTGGAGAGCTTGAAGCTTTGCAGAGGGTCCAACAGCCAGTTTGGAGCCAGCCTTGGAGGGCAAGCATTCAATAGGGCATGCACTTCAGGCAAAGGCTGACGATGGAATCAGTGCAAGGGGCTGAGCTGGGAGGTGGGAGAAAAAGGGAATGACAAAGACCCTCAGATGCCATTTTGAACATCTAGATTTAACTGATGGACAACCAAGTTGTTAAGCAGTTAGACAGGAAGGAAATATTCCAGTGAAAGAAACTTTACAATGGAGGTCCAAAGAAAGAAACTTTACAATGGCGGGTGGGGGAGGGAGGACGGACATGGAGGTTCAGTGAGAGTTTTGCTGGAGTCCAGGTGAGAGGCTTGGAGTCCTGGGCTGGGTGTGCCTTTGCCATGCAGAGCCACAATGCCTGATGGGGATCTCGTTGGCCACTGTGGCTGGGGGATGGGAGGGCTGCAAGTGTGGCCTCCTGGGGGGGGCAGAGTTGTCCTGGCTGGCCCCGTGTTGGGGGTGATAGGCTGGCTGTGGAGGAAAGGTGGGGCTGTTTCTCATGGGCTCAGGGCATGGGGTGCTGAGCTCTGAGGAGGGATTTGGGCAGTGGGACACTCATTCACTCACTTACTCACTCAAACATTTTCCAAATCCCCACTGTGTGCCATGGCCTATGCTGTCTACAGATGTTTCACTGTGTGCTGACCTTACAGAGCTGACAGCGAGTAATGGGGACAAATAAGGACATTACAGCAAGGCAAAGTAACAGCAGTGACGGAGACATCAAATGAGGGTGCTCTGGAGCCTGCGGTCAGAACAGAAAGTGCTCAGACTCTGCCAGAACTCAAGAAGAACTCTTGAATCCTGGACAGAGGTAGGCTCCATGGAGATCTCGGCCCAGTCCTTCCGTACCCTGATCCCTGACTTCTGGGCTCAGATCCTTAATCTAGAGAGAGCCAGTCCCATCTCTTGGCCACCTTCCCGCTTGCTCAACTGCAGCCCTGATGCCTCCTCTGTGGTTTCTGGCTGTGATGTTACTTCCTCTCAAGGTTCCCCTAATTTCCGACAGACATTGATTTTCAGTCTCCCTGGGGGCCCCTGGGGCCTCAGTCCAAACTCAGTAAGTTCCCATACACCGGGTGTGGCACTCTTGTGTTAGACCCAGGCTGGAAAGAAAGGGCAAAGAGGGGCAGGAGCAGAGGCCTTCCCTTTCTCTTCCTAGGCTTGTCCCTAGAGCACTCATTCCCCAATGTCCTTCTTAAAGCTCTCCCTCCCCATTCTCCCCTCCTCCACTGAGCCTGGAAAGGTGTTGTTTGCCCTGTGCTCAATCCCCAGGGCAACAGGCCAGGCAGCAGGTGTGTGTGTGTTGAACAAGGCCCTCTCTGGAGTGGAGTGGCTGGAGATGAGCTTTGTTTAAATATTAAAGAAGTCAATCATTAATCAAGCCTGGCTGGGTGCCCAGCTACCCACTGTCTGCATTTGGGAGGACCTGGCCTAGGGCAGGGATGGGCCACGGGGCAGTTTGTAAGGCTACTTGCATCTCAGACAGCTGACAGGCAGCTTCTGGGGGCTGGATTATGCAGCTCAACACATACAGAGAGTTCAGCACTCATGAACTGAGCACTGATGTACAGGAGTGTCTGGTTTTACTTGCATGCATCTTATAAAGGCACTGAAGCAGTGTCCTGTTTCTAACCATGGCAGATACTCCTTGGGTATTGCAGCCTCTGTCCAGACCCACAGTAGAGTCTGAAGAAAGTATTATGTGAAAAACCAGTTTTGGGGTGAGGGGCTAGTTTGGAGGGACACAGCCCTTGGGTAACTAAATCTACAGATCCTGAACCCTAGGAGAAGGAAGCTGGTCTGGAACCCAGGGCAGACATGGAATCAGTCGCCTGTGCACGTGGCCTCACATACATGAGTTCACAAACGCACAACTGCCCGTGTACCCGGGTCTGCCACGGTTGCACCCAATAGCAGTTGGGTGCTATGCATGCAAGCATTCCCCCCCAACCCCTCTCCACTTGGCCGCCCTCTTCCTGCCCCCAAACCTCACCAGTTGCACTGGTGTCTAGTCCCAGCTCCCCTATTCATCTCTCATCCACAGAGGCTTCCTGTTGTGCTGTGTGAAAATCCGAATGATGAGGCCAATGGAGCACAACATCAGGAAGAGGCAGAGGCCCAGCAGCATCCACTGTCTCTTGACAACTTGGTGGGGCTCCATGGCTATGCCCAGGAAGTAGGTTTTGGATGCTGGCTCGATGGCATTGGTGTCCTGTGACCTGGGACTCTGTGACTGGGTGCCCTGTGACCGGGTGTCTTGTGTACTGGTGTCTTGGGTCAGTGAGGTTTTTTCCAGGGTGTACAGCCTGTGGCCCAGCAGCAGGACTGCCAGTAACATGACAAAGCTCAGGACCAGCAACGTCCACTGCCCGGATCTGACCTGGTCAGGGTTCAGCTCCATCCCCAGGAATGCTGTCCTGCCTGTTTCTCTTTCTGTGGAAGACACAGGAAACACATAGGGCAGGTGAAGCTGGGGAGGGTGTCTCATGGTGACCAGAGGGGATCTGACGGGCACAGGCCTTCTCCCCCAGCCTCTGGCACCTGCCTTCCAAAGGTGAGGGCCTTGCCCTGGAAGGAGGGTAGGAAAGAGGAGCAGGAGCAGGAGGAGGAGGAGTAGATGGCACAGGTACAGCCATGTACCCTGTGGAGCCCAGCAGTGGCTCCATGCAGGGTCAAGGGGTAAGGTGGCCACCCTGTGTTCAGATCCACCCTGCAGTCTAGCCGGACATGGGCAAGGAAGCCTCCGAGCCAGTGGCTGGGGCATGGGCTGTGGTCTTGGCCGAGGCTGCATCAGGTGCAGACAAGGTCACACTGCAAGGTACTTGATGGGCAAGGGGTGAAGGCTGGGCTGTGGTAGGGGCTGGCCCAGGGCAGGATAGGGTTGGGCCTGGAGCTGGAACAGAGGTGAGACGAGGGTCAGATCATCAAACCTTCAAAGGAACAGCTGAAGTCTGGCCAGCCCAGTATCTCCCCCTGCCGCACGTTCTCAGTGACCAGCCAGTTCAGCAGGGGCTTGAAGTAGGTCATGAGGGCCTTTGTAGACACCTTGGTCTCCCCAGTCATCTTCTCCAGGACCTCCGGCCAGGGCTTGCTCGAGCCCAGCTTCAGGACATCCCTGGGAGGGTACGTACGGCTGTGAGGCTGTGTGGGGGCATCGGCTGATGCTGCTGGGACCCCTCAGTATGCCCAACCCCACCTTTAGAGTCTGACTTTGCTAGCCAGACTCTCCCAACAGATGTTCAGCATAATGGATAAAATCACAAGCTCTGTATGGAAGAGACTAACACAGTACTGTAAAACAATTATCCTCCAGTTAAAAAAAAGAAAAAGAAATCTCAAACTTTGAAATAATACTAACCTGTGTTTGAATCCTGACTCTGTGACTCAGCTGTGGGACCTTGGGCAAGTACTTAACCTTTCTGAATCTCAATTTCCATATCCATAAAATGGAGAAAATAAGAGTACCTACCCCTTAGAGTGGTTGTGTTGGCCAAATAAGCACAATTCTGGGAGCATAATTAGGTAGGCAATAAATGTCTGATTACTATTATTATTATTACTAGTACTGCCACCGTGAGAATTATTATTATCCTGGACTCAAATAAGCCTAAAGTCATGAAACACTCTTTCCCATGAGGTGCTCAGTGTCAGCAGAGACTCCTTTTCAGTCCCTTCCGGTCTCCCAGGGAGTGTTTGCGAGGATTAGCGAGATTGCAAGCGTGGGATGTGTTCTGTGCACCGCCAGCGGCACTGCGGAAATGTCAGCTGTCTCGAGGCTCACCCAGTGCTGGGCGGCAGGGGGTCTAGCCTTAGGCTTGGCCCATGCACTCAGGTAGGGGGACAGCATGCACTGCAGCCGGGGCTCTGGGCTCCTCCACTCCAGTGTTCCCCACAGAGGCAGCAGGAGGTGTATGTTGATACTTCTCAACCTGCCTCCCCGATCTGACCTGAAGAGAGGTGGGGCTGAGAGGCCCAGAGGCCTAGAGTATGAAATCTAGGCTGTCAA